AGGTTGGCAAGGAGATGTTTGAGGGGAGGGTTAATATCAGAGTTAAGTGTTCTATGTATGTAATAGGTGCAGTAATAAGTATGGATGTTTTGTATGGTGAGTAGGTTGAGTGTTTTGAATATTGGTGGAGTGTGCTGCCTGTAGTGAGAATTTGTTATCATTCTAACTGCAGCCTTTTGTTGGGTAATTGGTGGTCTGAGATGGTTAATTGTTGTTGAGCCCCATGCACAAATTCCATAGGTGAGATAGGGGTAAATAAGAGAGTGATAAAGGGCCAGGAGGGCTGACTGTGGAACATAGTACCGTATCTTCGATAGTATGCCTACAGTCTTGGAAATTTTCTTAGAAATTTGTTGTATATGTGTATGAAATTTGAGTCTATTATCAAGGTGGATTCCTAAGAATTTTCCCTCTGTTAGCTTTGTGATAGGTGATCTGTTTATCGTTATGTTAAGAGGTACATCTATAGCTCTGTTACCAAACTGAATGAAGTAGGTTTTGTCAATGTTTAGTGTAAGTTTGTTAGTCCTCATCCAGGTAGATATTTTCTGTAATTCAGTGTTTACAGTATTGGCTAGCGTGACTGGGCTCGGGTGAGAGAAGACGTATGTAGTGTCATCTGCAAAAAATGTGGGTTTGAGTAATTGCGAAGCATTTGGTAGGTCATTTATGTATAGGAGAAAGAGAAGAGGGCCAAGGACACTTCCCTAGATCTAAACTTACTCCCTGTTCAGTACATCCACACTTACTACTGTGCAATCTACATCTACAGGACCTTAAACCCAATATCAACCTTGACCTAAAATGCTTTCTTGATAGTTGTGACAGAACCCATAGGCATAACACCAGACACAAACATCTCAACGACATTCCCTGTGTCCGACTAAACCTTTACAAAAATTCAATGTATGTCAAAGGCCCTAAAATCTGGAACACCCTACCTGAGAACTCTAGAACTGCAGACACATTCATCACCTTCAAAACTACCATTAGAAAACATCTTATCTCCCTGATACACCCCATCAACTAACTACACGAATACCACCTGGTGGTTCACACTTACACTCACTCACCCATTTGACCATAAACAGAAATATTAATCTCAATCTTAAAATAATGAATCCTATGATACTCCAACACTGAAACTATGTACTGTGCCAAAACAAAAGCATTCACATTGCTAAACTCACAAACTAGTATTTAGCCACTTAGCCATAATACCAACTTGCCTCATAATTTGTAATATTTTAAAATAAAGAATTAAACTAAGTCTGCCCGAAATGCCTAGCCATGCTAGGCGTTCTAGTGGTACACTCTGTAATCATTATTTAACTACATGTAAACCACACAATAACCAAATTCTGTAAACTGAACATTGTAATCCTTATAGAGAATAAACTTTGAATTTGAATTTGAATTGAAAACCTTGTCGTTTGTCCAGTCCAGTTCAGTCAGCCTTGTCGTTTGTCCAGTTCAGTCAACCTTGTTTGTCCAGTTTAGTCAACCTAGTTGTTTGACCAGTCCAGTTTAGTCAACCTAGTCGTTTGTTCAGTCCAGTTCAGTCAACCTTGTCGTTTGTCCAGTTTAGTCAACTTTGTCGTTTATCCAGTCCAGTTCAGTCAACCTAGTCGTTTGTGCAGTCCAGTTCAGTCAACCTTGTCGTTTGTCCAGTTCAGTCAACCTTGTTTTTCCAGTTTAGTCAACCTAGTCATTTGTCCAGCCCAGTTCAGTCAACCTTGTCATTTGTCCAGTTTAGTCAACTTTGTCGTTTGTCCAGTCCAGTTCAGTCAACCTAGTCGTTTGTTCAGTCCAGTTCAGTCAACCTAATCGTTTGTTCAGTCTAGTTCTGTCAACCTAGTCAGTTCAGTCAACCTAGTCATTTGTTCAGTCCAGTTCAGTCATTCCAGTCCAGTTCAGTCATTTCAGTTCAGTCAATCCAGTCCAGTTCAGTCAACCCAGTCCAGTTCAGTCAATGAGGTAAACAGTCATAAGAACAACATAACAAAAGAAAGAAGGAACACTGTAGCAGGCCTACTGGCCCATTCGAGGCAGGTCCAAGTCTCCTACCGGCTTAAGCCAATGCACCCAACCTAGTCAGGTCAGGTCACATTCACTTTAAGAAGGAACACGGCAACTGACCCAGTAGCACAAGCTAGTCAGGTCCAACTCACACCCACCCACACCCACTCATGTATTTATCTAACCTATTTTTAAAACTACGCAACGTTTTAGCCTCTATAACTGTACTTGGGAGTTTGTTCCACTCATCCACAACTCTATTACCAAACCAGTGCTTTCCTATATCCTTCCTGAATCTGAATTTTTCCAACTTAAAACCATTGCTGCGAGTCCTGTCTAAGCTAGATATTTTCAGCACGCTATTTACATCCCCTTTATTTATTATTGCTTTCCATTTATACACCTCAATCATATCCCCTCTAATTCTAAGCCTTTCTAGAGAGTGCAGATTCAGGGACCTCAGTCCATCCTCATAGGGAAGGTTTCTGATACATGGGATCAACTTTGTCATCCACCTTTGTACGTTTTCCAGAGCATTTATATCCATTCTGTAATATGGTGACCAAAACTGTGCAGCATAATCTAAATGAGGCCTAACCAAGGATATATGGAGTTGAACAACCTGAGGACTTCTATTATTTATGCTTCTTGATATGAAGCCAAGGATTCTGTTAGCTTTATTGTGAATACTTATGCACTGTTGTTTTGGTTTCAGATTACTGCTAACGAGAACTTCTAAATCTTTATCGCAATCCATAATATTAAGATCTACATTATTTAGTTTATATGTGGCATGGTTATTGTCCTGTCCAACATTTAGAACTTTGCATTTGTCTATGTTAAACTGCATCTGCCACTCCTCCGACCACTGCATCAGTCTATTCAAATCTTCTTGGAGTGCTCTAATGTCCTCGTCAGAATGAATTTGATGGCCTATTTTGGTGTCATTGGCAAACTTGCTTGTGTCGCTCTTTATACCCTCATCTATGCCATTTATGTAGATTGTGACCAACAGGGGACCCAACACTGGGCCTGGGGATTTGCTAGGTTTTAATTTATCTATTTGCCTAAGGACAGTGTCACTAGTGACCCTAATCGTGCATAGTTTATTATTGTTCTGTTCTACATAATTTGTTATTTCTGGAATATCGCTAGTATCTTCCTGCGTAAAAACTTAGAGGAAGTTATTTCCTTATCACTGTCCGTGAGCTGACCCGAGTAACTTGTGAGTGGGCCTATCTTGTCCCTGATCTTACTTCTGTACACCTGAAAGAATCCTTTTGGGTTAGTCTTCAGTTCTCTTGCAACTTTAACCTCATAATCTCTTTTTGCTTTTCTTATTCCCTTTTTTATTTCTCTCTTCAACTGAATACAGTGGACCCCCGGTTAACGATATTTTTTCACTCCAGAAGTATGTTCAGGTGCCAGTACTGACCGAATTTGTTCCCATAAGGAATATTGTGAATTAGATTAGTCCATTTCAGACCCCCAAACATACATGTACAAACGCACTTACATAAATACACTTACATAATTGGTCGCATTTGGAGGTGATCGTTATGTGGGGGTCCACTGTATATTGATTTCTTAATTGTCGCTCTCCTCTTTTGATTTGCCTATATATGCCTCTCTTTTGACCAGTTAGATGTTTTAATCTATTGTTCATCCATTTAGGATCATTTTTGTTTGATCTGATATCCCTATTTGGAACAAAAATTGTCTGAGCAGCTAGAACTATGCCCTGGAAAACGTCATATCGGCAGTCGTCACCACCTACCTGATCCATAGTCAGTTCATTCCAGTTCAGCCCACCCAAGTAATTTTTCAGCCCTATGAAATAGCCAAGCGGAAGTCAGGGACAGAGACTTGATTGCCATTATTAGGGAAATTCCATGATATATTAAAACTAAGTGATTTGTGATCACTTTCCCCAAGCACATCATTAACCTTAAGATTATTAATTAGTGTTTCCCTGCTGGCAAGAACCGAGTCAAGCAGGTTATTTCCTCTAGTAGGTTCTGTCACAGACTGTTTTAAAAAACAATCCCGAGTCGTATCAAGAAAGTCACCGGCTCCAGTCAATCTGTCTATAGTTGAAATCTCCTATTAGCACAACATTTTCATATGTAGATGTCTTACGAATTTCGTCCCATAGAAGTTTACTGCACTCCCTATCAAGGTTTGGGGCCATGTAAATCACACCCAAAATTAGTTTTTCACGGCCCTCGAGAAGTCCAGTTCAGTCAACCTAGTCCAGTCTAATCAACCCATCATATCAACAACCTGGCACAATCAAGATTCCACCAGAGTTTTCTCTCTTATTTTTAAAATGTTTTTTATTAATGTGAGAAATAATGTGTAAGCAAGGTTTAAATCTGCAGTGACTTCACACAGTCTTAACTCTCTGAAGAAAAGAAGCACTGTAAATATGAGTACAAATAATCATTAGTTATTGTAGAAATAAAGATTATTATTATTATTATTATTATTATTTATTTTGTTTTGTTTTGTTTATTTTACTATTTTATTATTCATTTTGAGTTTTGTTACTTTGGCTTTAGGCTTAGTTAGGTTAGGTTACTACTAGGGTCATTATTGACCTTTTTTTTTTTTTATCTAGAGCTGAGCAGCGCTGTTTGACCCTTGTGGGTTTAGCGCTTAATTTTGACAATAATAATAATCAGAACTGAAATCAATTACTCTTTTATATTCTAGATAACCAACTTTTCCTCTTTTCTGAAGTTACACTAATTAAGTTATTAGGTGTATTTTAAACAGACGGATTTATACCTACAAAGGTTTTTGCATACTTGGCCGAATTAATGCCAAATCAAGGTACATGTATATTATAAGCTCTGTGTACCTCTGTATGACCCTTGTGGGTTTAGCACTTACTTTTGATTGTAACAATAATTATAAGCCATATACTAGTGCTATTAAACAAATACAGTTGTTAACTGTATCTGATATCATTATTTCAGACTAGTAACTGTAAAAATCAATGGGAGTGAAAGAACTATGGAGCTTGGTGTCACCTACTGGGCAACTGCTGCCCTTGTCTTCTCTAGAAGGCCAAGCAGTGGCTGTGGATCTCTCATGCTGGGTGGTAGATTCCCAAGCGCTGCACGTGGGATATGTAACTCGCCCTCATCTCAGGTTAGTTGTCTCCGACTGTTGAGTTACTCTGAGCTACATAACATTTGGGTGAAGATTTACAGCCATCTTACTATAGTCATCACTAAAAACTTTGCATTAGTTTCCAATCTAATCACATGTCACTTTGATTTTTTTGGGTAAGTAGCAGTTTACACATGTTACATGTACGATAATTGTACTTGCTAGTACAGATCCATTTACAGTTGTAAAGTTGCTATCATTTCTGATTAATTTTTTTTCTCACTAGCCATCTTCCATGAAGGTGAGCTAACTCAAAAATTGAAAAAAAAAAAAAAAAAAAAATTCTCTATCACTTATTTAATATTTTAGTCTAGTGGGGGATGGGGGGTTCTTAAGTCCTTAATTCAGCTTAAGCATGTGCTATGAATTATTTTGCAGGAATTTATTTTTTCGCACATCAGCTCTCTTGAATGCTGGAGTACTCCCAGTATTTGTATTGGAAGGTGATGCACCGAGCTTAAAGTGGGACACCATCTCATCACGTAACCAGAGAAATTTTCACCCTTCAGTTGCTTCAAAGAATGTCTCCTTGAAGACAGGAAAAAGGTCTCGGTTTAAATCGATTCTTAAGGAGGTTTGTCACATCGATTGTCATTTCTTTTGTATGTTCTATGTAATTTTGGATTAAAAACAGGGTATTACTGTGTTTATCACATTAAAACTTTCCAGTTGTGCATAGTAAGATAAAGCAGTCATTCCTTTAGTGAATGGTACTTTTCACAATGAGAACAAAAAAAAAAAATGTATATATAAGCCCAGATGCCCAAATAGGGTTTCTTTCACACTGCTTTTCTGAGGCATTGCATAAAAGTCCCATATGGTAAAATTGAAGATAAGAGATCACTATCATTCTCCTCTTAAAATAATAAAAGGATGAATTCATTTATCAAGTTTTCATGAAGCTAAGTTTGCTGGTAATCCACTTGAATTTATTTGATTTTATTATAAAAAAAAAGCCTTTTAATTCTAAAAGCCCTGTTGTACTGTACATTGATTATTCTTATTTTTTTGTAATTATTTCTTCTCATTTTGTTATTGTACTGTTAATGATCTGTTTAATTGTAGTTAATCCCTTGATGTCAATTTTGCACACCTTATTCCTTCCTTTTCATCTACCTTATTCTGTGGTTAATCTCACTTTGTTCTTATTCAGTTAATCTTCTGTCTGGTGTTTGGCCTCAGTATATTACAGTATAAACATTCTTTCTCATTTTTATATGCCACATGCAGAAAAAATGTATGTTTTTTACTTTATTATGCAAAAAGTTTGGAAGAATGCTTCATTAGAGCACCTAAGATTTAAAAACATTGCAGTGTGACAAAGCGTCTATGCATTAATTTTAATGTAACACTAGAGTCCTTTTCTTTGTAGTGCAGGGAGCTTCTCGACCTTCTAGGTGTGCCCTGGGTCCAAGCAAGTGGTGAGGCCGAGGCAACCTGCGCTGCTTTAAGCTACCATGAGGTTCGTTTCCTGTTAGTTTCCTCCATTGAATCATAACTTAGGGACTAATCATACAAGACTGCACCTTTTTCATATCAGTTTGCAAAAACATGTACTGTACAGGTATACTACAATATAAGATTTTTTTTTTTTACCTGAAGTGACAATCTGCCAGGTTAAAGGGGCATTCAACTATGTTTTTTTTTCGTATGTTGCTAATTGATTTTGTTAACTATTTCATAGTTTTCTTTTTTTATCACAACTATTCAGTTACCTTAAATGTACAATCTCATTCTGATATGAGTGTTAGTTTGGAATTATAATTTTTTATTAACACATAAGCCATCATTGTCTTGCCAGAGGCATGCTTACACTACAGTTATAAAACTGCAATGTTAACACCTCTCCTAAAGAGTGCCAGCACTGTACTTCCCATCTCCAGGAATCAAGTCTGGCCTGCCAGTTTCCCCTGAATCCCTTCATAAATGTTACCTTGCTTACACTCCAACAGCATGTCAAGTCCTAATAACCATTTGTTCCTATCTAACATGCTCATGCACCCTGCCTTCCCTCCACTACAGATTTAAACACTCTCAAAGTCATTCTATTTCATTCCAACCTCTCTACATGTCCAAACCATCTCAGTAACCCCTCGTCAGCCCTCTGGATAGTTTTGGTAATCCCGCACCTCCTCCTAATTTCCAAATTACGGATTCTCTGCATTATATTCACACCACACATTGCCCTCAGACATGACATCTCCATTGCCTCCAACCTTCTCCTTGTTGCAACATTCACCACCCATGCCTCACACCCATACAAGAGCGTTGGTATAATTATACTCTCATGCATTCCCCTCTTTGCTTTCATGGATAAGGTTCTTTGTCTCCACAGACTCCTCAGTGCACCACCCGCCTTTTTCCCCTCATCGGTTCTATGAGTCGCCTCATCCTTCATAGACCCATCTGCTGACACATCCACTCCCAAATATCTGAATATATTCACCTTCTCCATACTCCTTCCAATCTGATATCTAATCTTCTGTTACCTAATTTTTTTTTGTTATCCTCATCACCTTACTCTTTCCTATATTCACTTTTAATTTCCTTCTTTTACATACCCTACCAAACTCATCAACCAACCTTTGCAACTTCTTTTCAGAATCTCTCAAAAGCACAGTGTCATCAGCAAAGAGCAACTGTGACAACTCCCACTTTGTGTTAGATTCTTTTTCTTTTAACCCCACACCTCTTGCTAACACCCGAGCATTCACTTCTCTTACAACTCCATCTATAAATATATTGAACAACCATGGTGACATCACACATCCCTGTTTAAGGCTTACTTTTACTGGAAAATAATCTCCCTCTTGCCTACATACTCTAACCTGAGCCTCACTATCCTCGTAAAAACTCTTCACTGCTTTTAGTAACCTACCTCCTATTCCATACATTTGCAACATCTGCCACATTGCCACCCTATCCACCCTATCATATGCCTTTTTCAAATCCATAAATGCCACAAAAACCTCTTTACCCTTATCTAAATACTGTTCACCTATGTTTCACTGCAAACGCTTGGTCTACAAACCCCCTACCCTTCCTACAGCCTCTTTGCTCATTATAATTTTTAGTTTTCAAAATTCAGAATCTTTGTAACCTGTGAAAGTCACAAAAGCAGTATTAAGACATTTATTTAGGAGACATTTACCCAGTCAGTTGTGTGGGTGTAGGGCTTGTTAACCCTTTGAGGGTCGACAGGCCCTCTCCGAGACTCGTTCTCAGGGTCGGCCAAATTTTAAAAAAAAAAAATAATAATTTTTTCTTATGAAAAGATAGAGAATCTTTTCCCGATCACAATGACACCAAAAATTTGAAATTTGATGGAAAACTTACGGAATTATGCTCTCACGAAGTTAGCGGTCTCGGCGATGTTTATGGATCGGCGATTTTGCCCAATTTGAGCCCCATTTTCGGCCAGTTCCACTGTACTAGTCGACAAAAAACATTAATATTTCCCTAGAACTCCATTTTTTCTATTGAATGAGTGCAAGAAACCACCCATTTACTAATTTCAACTATCCAGTACAGTGGTCAGAATTTAGCAATTTTGCCAATTTCACACAAATTTCAAAAGATGCCAATTTCCGAATAGGGTCCAGAACAAACAAGAAATACATTCCTGGCACTAAAATGATGTTTCCTCTGTTCATTAGTCATGTCTCAAGGCCCCTCTTACATTCTTTTGCTTTCCACTTAGAATTTTTATTCTCACAAAAAATAGAAGATTTACTGTTATGCAGACTACTGCATTAGTGTAAAAAATGGTATGAATCATATTGGCGCACTTGCAAAAGAATATTAGGCTCACCAGTTGACGTGTATTGGACGCTTGGCATGATTTGTTTACTTTTGAACTTTGGTAAAAATTGAACATTTCTGCTACTTTGAGCTCAATTTCAAGGTACTTTTCATTGTAAAACCAGTCAAAATCATCTCAATTTCTATGATATGCCTTCCATTCTATAAAATGAGACCAAGAAAACTAGAATACAACAATAAATACCATACGAAAATACAGTGCAAAGTCGCTGTTTTATTCCAAAAAAACGGTCAAAGTTTTTTTTTCTCATTATGCACTGTGTGCTGCAGGATTTTTTTTATACCATGCACACTGACCACATAGACCCATTCTTTCATATGGAGGCCTACCAGCTTTCTCCCACTAGATTTGAGGGCGCTAGAATTTAGGCGTACTAGTACGTCAAAAACCCTGGGTCGTGAGCTGTACTAGTACGTCCGAAACCCTCAAAGGGTTAATGGCTGTGTTTGGTGCAGGCAGGGATAGAAATTTTCTGTGTTCTCAAGTAGAATCCCATGATATCTCTTAAGATAATATAGCATCTCTAGCCTTGCTGTTCTCGAAGAAAAATGTAGTTGCACACACCAGGCTTTTTCTGAACTTCAATAGCCAATGCACTTCATTAACAATTTTGGATCATATGAGATAATCATCCACTACCAGACACTGGATAGATTCTCTTAGTACTTTCAGTTAACCAGCAATAAGCTGTTGTACAGTATTTGTCATCTCTTGCTGTTCAGTCACATTACTTAGTAATTTTACCATAAATCTGGGGATCTTGGCCATGTGCCCATGAATTCTTCATTGCCTGTCTAGGCTTTCTAAAATGCTTACTTAAAAATCTCCTTATTAAAAGATAACTTTTGGAAAATGTTCTCTATTTGTAATTTTAGCCATCAGCTAATACATAAATTATATTAGTAGTCAGAACCAAAGCAGGTAAGATATTAATTTTTTGGGGTTATTTAAAATGTTTATGGTTTTACCTTCACCTTTCCATTTAAACTACCATACACATATGGGAAAGTGGAACAAAATTCTTCCTCTGTAAACCATGCATGTCATAACAGGCGACTTAATGCCAGGAGCAAGGGGCTAGTAACCCCTTCTCCTGTATACATTAAAGTTAAAAAGAGAAACTTTCATTTTTGTTTTTAGGTCACCCTGCAGTGGTGGGATATAGCCAGTTTGATGAAAAAAAAAGTGCATATACAGTGGACCCCCGGTTAACGATATTTTTTCACTCCAGAAGTATGTTCAGGTGCCAGTACTGACCGAATTTGTTCCCATATGGAATATTGTGAAGTAGATTAGTCCATTTCAGACCCCCAAACATACACGTACAAACGCACTTACATAAATACACTTACATAATTGGTCGCATTCGGAGGTAATCGTTATGCGGGGGTCCACTGTACTGTATTTCTCAAAAATAACTCTTTAAACACTTGTAATGAGAAGGGAAAGCATCTACAGAGACAAAAGTAAGATGTGTACAAGGGATGCTTCAACAAGACAGCCTAAACACTTATTTTTGGCTGCCTTAGTTAATTGGTGATTATTTTTCATTAGCACCCCAGAAGGATGTTTTATGTCCTTCATATTTTTTTTTAAGAACTAAACATTTGCTGAGTTTCCATAATTCTCCACAGATGGTAAAAGGAGTCATCAGTCAAGACAGTGACGTCTTCTTGTATGGCGGTCAGACAGTATTCCGAAATTTTACCGCAAATCAGAATAAAGCAACAGTCGAGAGGTTTAGGTAAATTCTTGTACAGTATTGTAAATGTAGAATTTTGTTTGTATTGACTGCAGTTATTTTTGTATATAGTTATTTATTTTTAAAAGAAAAATATTTTATAAATTGAAAAGATTTTAAAGTTTTTTTTTTTTTTTTTTTCAACAAGTTGGCCGTCTCCCACCGAGGCAGGGTGACCCAAAAAAAGAAAGAAAATCCCCCCCAAAAAAATACTTTCATCATCATTCAACACTTTCACCACACTCACACATTATCACTGCTTTTGCAGAGGTGCTCAGAATACAACAGCTTAGAAGCATATACGTATAAAAATACACAACATATCCCTCCAAACTGCCAATATCCCAATATGCCAATATAGTTGAGTAAAACCTTGATTTAATGAACAGATTTTACATAACTGTCTCTTATTGTTGCAGTTTGCTGGGTAAGTTAATTTCAGAAATAGACCAAGTTCTTTGTTTATGGTATTGTTGATTATTGTTACAGTCACGGCAGAATAATCTCGTTCAGATTTAATGGAAAGTGCATTACTGGGCATTCTCTCCCTCCCCTTAGTTCCATTGAATCAAGGTACTACTTTAATTTTATTTTCAACAATACTGTATGTAATATGCTTTTATATTCTAGGATTTTGTGTTCCATTACATTTAGTATATACCAAAACCTCAAGTTATGGGAATGTATACAGCATAATATATGGCTCAGTAAGTAGAATAACCATTTTCTATGCAAGAAACAAATAGGGTCATAGTCAGTTCTTTGAATTCATGCTAATTGTAGCAAGGTTGGAAAAGATAGACAAAATTTGCAGAGAGGAACTTTGAGACATTTTACCTGTGGAATGGATTTCTTCAGTAATTGCAAAGGGATGTACAAATGAGCATATAAGTGTATTCAGGCGAGCGGCTGGGTCAGTGAGGGGTGGATTGCAAGATATGAGCACGGAAGGAGGTCTACCAGTCCCATCAATGATCGGTTTATGTAAAAGAATTTAGGCTGAAGGTTTGGTTAAATTAAAAGCTTGATTCTGTTGGATTGTATTTTTTATGTACATAGTTCAGAACAAGGGAGCAAGGGGCTAGTAACCCCTTCTTCCTGTATACATTACTAAAGTTAGAAAGAGAAACTTTTCTTTTTCTTTTTGGGCCACCCTGCTTCAGTGGGATACGGCTGGTTTGTTGAAAGTAGTAGTTCAGAACAACTTTCACACTTTTTTTTTCTCATTCCTCGATGACTGGCTGGGTTTCTATCCAGGGCGTCAGGTCTTCAGTCTTGTCCCTTTGTGTAACTAAGGCATTGTTATTGTTGCAAGTCCTGCATGCATGTTCTTACAAGCTGATCTGTAGGCTGCAGGAAAACTTCTCCATGTACTTCTGGTCACAACCATTGCCTACGTTACTGTAGCCTGGGCTGTTGTCTTTAGTGATGGTCAAGCCTTTGATGATGCTAGATGTGATGGTAGCAAGGTTCTGTATGACTGTACCATATACACACTTCATTCCTTGTGAAATGTGTGTATATGGTACATTCATGTGTATATTGCACAATCCTTGTGGAGTGTGCGATAGGTGGAGGAAAGGTTGCTGTTCAGTGGTGTGAAGTTTCAAAAACAAAATTGTGCATGTGGGAGAATGATAATAGAATCAACAGTGTGCTGGGATGCCGTTCATGAATGGTAAGAATAAACAGTTTCTCTCGTATGCTATTTGCAGCGAATAGCATGACAGGATCATCATAACTATGCTATGAATATGTCTTGCCTATCAAACCACAGAGCATGATAACTTTGCTGTAAAATTGTTTCCCTCCCTCTCTGTTTTCTGAAAAACATTGTCTGGCTGAAATGCTATGCATCCTATAGGCATTCTCATTTCCCAGATGCTGTCTGATGCACTCTGAAAGAAGGGGTGGGGACATTGCAGTCAGAGGGCAATCTGACCCGTGATATCAGGACACTTCTGGCAAGACATTAAATGAATGATGGTGAATGTGTTTTCTTCTTTGGTGGGAGATGGCTGTAGAGATAAAAAATATAATAAAAATTATAAAGTACTCAATGGCTGTTTCCCACCAAGGCAGGGTAATCCAAAGTAGAAAACACATTCTCCATCATTCATTCAATTGCTGTCTTGCCAACAATGCACTAAAATCACAATTCACATTACCCACCAACTGCAGCATCCCTACCCTTCCTCTAGAGTGCAAGCACTGCCCTTCTCTCAAAATTCATTTCCAGCTTACTGGTTTCCTTGAATTTCTTCATTCCAACAGCACATTGATTAACAGCCCCTCATCTTCATTGACTTCCATCTAACACACTTACATTGTATCCCTGCATCCTCAACATGCCCTAACCATCTCGGCAACTCTTCCTCAGCCTTCTGAATTATGTGCTTGGTGACACTACATATTGCTTTCCAACTTGACATCTCCACTGCATCTAACCTCCTTGCTGCAACATTCAAAACCCATTCCTCTTGCCCGTATGCAAGTGTTGGTACCATGGAATAATAATAATACAGTGGTCCCTCGCTTTTCGTAGTTCTCGGGAATCATAGATTTCGGAAATCATAGGGATATTTTTGTATAAACATGGGCTCGCTAATCATAGGTTGACTTGCGAATAGTAGTTTGTCCGGGACGCGTACGCATGGTGTGAGCCGGGGCGGCCTCCCTACCCAGCCAGTCTGGCATTGTTTACCAGTGAGCGAAGGTCCCCTCACGTGCTCCTACGAAATATTTCATAATATTCCACTCATTTTAGTGCTTGCAAGTCCTAAATAAGCTACCATGGCTCCAAAGAAAGCTCCTAGTGCCAAGCCTGTGGTGAAGAAGGTGAGAAATACACCAAAGCAATGTTTCACAGGTGCTTGACTGTGACCACAGACACTCACTTGACCCTAAGGGAATTTTGGAAAGAACACTTCAGCATCCTCCATTGCATAACCCTTATAGGTATGGCTTGGGAGGGAGTGACTACCAGGACTTTGAACTCTGCTTGGAGAAAATTGTGGCCAGATTGTGTTGACAAGAGGGATTTTGAAGGGTTTGGGACTGACCCTGATGAGCCTATATCTGTTGTTAAATCAATTGTGGCACTGGGGAGTTCCATGGGGTTGGATGTGAGTTTGGAGGATGTGGAAGAGTTGGTGAAAGACCACAACGAAGAGCTCACCACTGAGGAGCTGCAAGAGCTTCAGCAGGAAGAGCAACAGATCGCAGCTCAGAATCTTGCTGCAGAGGAGGAGGAAGAGAGATGGAAGAAGGTGCCTTCTTCAGAAATTAAAGAAATTTTTGCTATGTGGGGTAAGATGGAAAGCTTTATGGAGAAACATCACCCTGACAAGGTTGTTGCAAGCCATGTTGGCAACATGTACAATGACAAAGCCTTGGGCCATTTTAGGGAAGTGTTAAAGAGACGCCAGAAACAGAGCTCTCTCCACAGTTATTTTGCGAGACAGGACTCCAGTGACTCTCAAGGTGGTCCTAGTGGCATTAAGAAACAGAGAAGAGAAGCAACCCCAGAAAAGCAATTGGTACCTGAGGTGTTGCTGGAAGGGGATTCCCCTTCCAAACTGTAAACAATCCAATCTCTCTCCTCCTCCTCCAGTCTCCCATACACTAAGAAGAATCTCCAATAAAGGTAAGTGTTATGCTGTTAATGTTTCATTCATCATTTCCCATTGTATTGTTTATGCACTACATCTATATTTCATGTAAAAAATTTTTTTGTTTTAATACTTCTGGGTGTCAGGAACGGATTAATTGTATTTACATTATTTCTTATGGGGAAAATTGATATGCAAATAGTAGATTTCGATAATAGTAGCAACTCCAGGAATGGATTAACTACGAAAAACGAGGGACCACTGTAATGCATTCAAGCAGTGTAAAGAATGTTGGGGGAACCCATGAGCAGGAGCCTCACACACAAAAGGTCCTAAGATTGAATCCTAGACAGTCAGACTGGGGCAAATCTCCTTACACCCTCTGTCTTATTTCATTTAACAGTAAATAAATATATATCTGGGTGTTAGTTGACTATTGTGTTTTTTTTTTATCCCAAGCGGTGATTAAAAATCCTGATTTGTTGAGGGACCTCAGTAAGTCAAGAACCTCCTGTTTTCAATACCATTGTAGTACTGTATACTGTACAGCATCATACTGTTTTGTATGAGAAGGAAGTATAGTATTGCCCATTGTCAATAGGAATATAATTGAATCATGTTTCATAAAAAGCATTTTTGAATATATGAATATATCCTTTGGTTTATATAAATTAGATTCATTTATAATTAATAGAACTACTGTACAACTATGATAAATTTCTTTAGTGTTAAGTAGTCAGTAAACCATTAAAATAAGTCGGCCCCTTAATGCCTAGGTATAATAGAGGCTCTTTGCATTGCAACCCATTATTGTAAATACATAATCTCAATGTACTACTTGCAAAGAAATAAATAAATTTGAAAATTTGAATTTGAATTGTATTCTATACCAATTAGATAATTGTATTGTAGTTTCTATCTACTGTACTCTGAAACATTATTTATATCATACCTGGATTGATTCTTTTCACAGTATGGAAATCTTAGAAGATCGACTACAACTGACTCGTGAAGGATTAATAGTTCTTGGTATTCTGCTTGGGTGTGACTATATGCCAGGTGGTGTGCAAGGAGTTGGTAGAGAGACAGCAATGAAACTTCTAAGAGCCTGGTATGAGGCTGGTGAAAAAAAACCATTGCAAAGGTATAGTGTGTGTTTTATATTTCATTGAGCATCATGACAGCTAATTTTTTTCTTCAGGCTCTTGCCTGGAATATACTATATGTTGATCTATTAATATAGAACTCTTCAAGGAGGGAGGAGTTCTTTTTATGCTTAGTAAAAGACTCTTGACCAGAGAATTGAAACTATCCTCTCCTTACTAAAATCAAATTTGATTATCTCCCATTCACCAGGCACTTTATGATCCATGCAGTTTTAGTGCTTCCCAATGAATATAATAGCAATCATATTATTTAAATGCTTTTAGATGTTGAAATAGCTTATAAATTTCAGATTGTGCAAGTGATTAGTAATTTTGTCTTCTAGAATGTGTTCCTGGACAGCCCAAGATAGCGCAGTTTCTCAGCAACAACTGAGTCACACAAAATGGAAGAAAGGGTGAATATTAGTAGCAAAAATGTTTGAAATGTTGGAATCTTATAGGTGAGAGAGAGAGATAGCAAAAAAGAGAGAGAGGGGAGAGAGAGAGAGAGCAAAAAAGAGAGCCAGGGGAGAGAGAGCAAAAAAGAGAGCCAGGGGAGAGAGAGAGAGAGAGAGAGAGAGCAAAAAAGAGAGCCAGGGGGAAAGAGAGCCAGGGGGGGAGAGAGCAAAAAAGAGAGCCAGGGGAGAGAGAGCAAAAAAGAGAGCCAGGGGGAGAGAGAGAGAGAGAGAGAGAGCAAAAAAGAGAGCCAAGGGAGAGAGCAAAAAAGAGAGCCAGGGGAGAGAGAGAGAGAGAGCAAAAAAGAGAGCCATGGGAGAGAGAGCAAAAAAGAGAGCCATGGGAGAGAGAGCAAAAAAGAGAGCCAAAGAGAAAGGAAGAGAGCAAGAGAGGGAGAGCAAAGAAAGGCATTAAATATAGAGAGGAATAGAATAACCCATGTTTATCTAATGTGGTTTTTTGCAAAAGTAATTGCTCTTTTATAATAAAAACTACATATTAATATCCCATAATACCTTGTGTTTTGATTAGTCATCATTGTTTAGGAAGTAACACACATTATTTAATGCATCTTCCCAGCCATGTCATGTAGACATTATATCAAGCATGATAGCTTGTGAGAAAATTTCCCTTTAACAGCTCTCTTGCTGTACACTTGTCAATATAATGAATAAAGTGTTTTTAACTTTACTGTTGTCTTATTTCACCTTCTACTATTTAGGAGCATGGAAGAACTAGAAGGAGGAGTGAGAAAAAGGGTTCTGGCAACAGATGGGTTCCCTTTCACAGAGATCATCCAAGAATTTCAACAGAAGCTTAAACGTCCAGCTTCTAAGATTCAGTGGAGTCAGCCGTGCTACGAGGAACTTGTGGTAAGTAACAAAAAGGCACAATACCATGAAGAACAATGCACAAATAACCCGCACATAGAACTGTGCGAGTTACATATTTGTAAGTGGTCCAAGTCGGATCAAAACATCATCGTTAGCTCCTCTCTCCTATGTGCAGGTTATTTGTGTAACTTGTGGTAAGCTAGTGGGTTAAAGGAAATGAGCTTGATTTCGTATTGAAACATATAGCAAGGTACTTACAGGACACTGGTACCTGGCTCTGAGTTAGTAGCTGAAAGGAAATTCCGTACAGAGTACCTGCAGTACCTCACTTATGAGGGTAATGTGTTTGAGTAAATTGTGATGTGTATGTAATCTGTGTAATGATTCTTTGTAAAACAGCTAATTTTCTTGTTGAAATTAGAAATGATGTAGACTTAGTTATGCATGCTAGTGTATCATAAAAATGATTTAAGCTTTTAACTGTGTCCAGTGTACTAATACACAGGTGATATCAATGCATCCAACATACTAGCATGCATAACTTTGTACCTTCAAATTGGCCACCTGCCAATATTTTTGACCTCAGCACAACTATTTGAATCTCAACTTTTTTCATGCCTTTGAAAAAATCTAAAGATCAGGTGGGTCCATCATGGGTAATGCTACATAACTAGCATTAGTAAATAATGAAAACAGGCCCTATTGTTCCATCCACCAGTTTTCCTACTAGAAAACAGGATCTGCAACTGCCAGGAAGTTGTTGTGTTCATTCCAAATTCGTTACAGTTTTGATTCAGCCAAAAAGTGCTATGTACATTTCACATAGGATAATCTAGTATGTTCAAACAATGTGACTTATTTCTATGGTTCAATGAGTATTCCACCTTGGAACGATTGTAATACAAGATTTTCTCGTAAATATATGTTTACAGGGGTCTTGAATAAGTAAGTTTATTCAGGTATACACAAATACAGTTACATAGAATTATCATACATAGCAGCATATGTGTAGAGAACCTAGGATAACCCAAAAAAGTCAGGCAGAGTGACTCATTTCCATTGGGGTCCTTTTACCTTATTTTTTATTTTTTTTTCCCAACAAGTCGGCCGTCTCCCACCGAGGCAGGGTGACCCAAAAAAGAAAGAAAATCCCCAAAAAGAAAAGGCTTTCATCATCATTCAACACTTTCACCACACTCGCACATAATCACTGTTTTTGCAGAGGTGCTCAGAATACAACAGTTTAGAAGCATATACGTATAAAGATACACAACATATCCCTCCAAACTGCCAATATCCCAAACCCCTCCTTTGAAGTGCAGGCATTGTACTTCCCATTTCCAGGACTCAAGTCCGACTGTGAAAATAACCGGTTTCCCTGAATCCCTTCACTAAACATTACCCTGCTCACACTCCAACAGATCGTCAGGTCCCAAGTACCATTCATCTCCATTCACTCCTATCTAACACGCTCACGCACGCTTGCTGGAAGTCCAAGCCCCTTGCCCACAAAACCTCCTTTACCCCCTCTCTCCAACCCTTTCAAGGACGACCCCTACCTCGCCTTCCTTCCCCTTTAGATTTATATGCTTTCCATGTCATTTTACTTTGATCCATTCTCTCTAAATGACCAAACCACCTCAACAACCCCTCGTCTGCCCTCTGACTAATACTTTTATTAACTCCACACCTTTTCTTAATTTCCACACTCCGAATTTTCTGCATAATATTTACACCACACATTGCCCTTAGACAGGACATCTCCACTGCCTCCAACCGTCTCCTCGCTGCTGCATTTACCACCCAAGCTTCACACCCATATAAGAGTGTTGGTACTACTACCTTAGTTTTATAATATAAAGGTCATAATATTTTCTTATCATTCTATAATGAAGATAACATCTTATTATCATACTAAAGAGACTATCTACTACATGAGGGTCATTACTAGGAATAAGGTAAAAGATTCCATGATGTTGCAGTGTCTGACAAGTTGTGCAAGAAAGGTATATAGTTCTACTGTCTTCTAATTATGTCCTAGAATCTGTATTGATAAAGCCACTGGATGGCAAAACGTCTACAATAAAGATATCCAGATGTTGCACATGTGTCTTAACTTTCATATTGTTCGTATTTTATACTTTTCTTGCACAACTTGTCAGACACTGCAACATCATGGAATTTTGGCTCAGAGGACATCTACAAGACCTTCTTCACGGCTGCTACAACTAACCCATCTCTTTGGAAAGGACCTACTTCCACTGGGTAATCCCGCCTACCAGTGACTATGCCCTCGTCTGCTGCACATCCTTATCCACTGACGCCTATATAACCGCCAGTCTTCTTGCCTTTGCTCCAGATTCTCCTCTACCACGATGCTGTGAACACTAACTCCAAGGCTGAGGGACTGATTACCTCATCTTTTGTATGTAGTTCTACTATCTTCTAATTATGCCTTAGAATCTGTATTGATAAAGCCACTGGATGGCGAAACGTCTACAATAAAGATATCCAGATGTTGCACATGTGTCTTAATTTTCATAATATATTGTGGTTGACAGTATCGAAGACCTTTTGCAGGTCTAAGGTTACCATACCTATGAGGTCCCCCTTTGACATTTCAGTTCTCAGGTAATCCATCAGATTAATTAAGGAGGTGTCGGTGAGTAAGATCTTCTAAAGCCCGATTGATAGCTATGGAGAATGTTGTTGTCATTAAGGTACTTAACTACGTAGTATAATACGTAATATTAACCTAGGATAACCCAAGTTTTGAGGAGTATTGCACCTTGAAACAATTGTCAACTTGTAAGTATTCATTGTACATAGTGTTAGAAGACCAAAGCAGTAAAAAAAATAAAGAAAATTATTTGCACCAATTTATATTGTATATTCCAAGTGGAGTATCGTCAGGCTATGCATTTCCCCGTGTTTGAAGTGTTAAAACACCTTGAAATACATCTAATATCCTAAGAAACTAATGTTCATGTTCATGTTAAACATTAAAAAATAAACAAAATAAAACCCATTCACAACTTGACATCAATAAATTGTAAAATGTAAATATTGCTGGTGAATTTACGCCTTCTCCTGTATACAATTACTAAAAAAGAGAAGAAGAAAAACTTTATAAAACTGGGTTGCTTAAATGTGCGTGGATGTAGTGCGGATGACAAGAAACAGATGATTGCTGATGTTATGAATGAAAAGAAGTTGGATGTCCTGGCCCTAAGCGAAACAAAGCTGAAAGGGGTAGGAGAGTTTCAGTGGGGGGAAATAAATGGGATTAAATCTGGAGTATCTGAGAGAGTTAGAGCAAAGGAAGGGGTAGCAGTAATGTTAAATGATCAGTTATGGAAGGAGAAAAGAGAATATGAATGTGTAAATTCAAGAATTATGTGGATTAAAGTAAAGGCTGGATGCGAGAAGTGGGTCATAATAAGCGTGTATGCACCTGGAGAAGAGAGGAATGCAGAGGAGAGAGAGAGATTTGGGAGATGTTAAGTGAATGTATAGGAGCCTTTGAACCAAGTGAGAGAGTAATTGTGGTAGGGGACTTGAATGCTAAAGTAGGAGAAACTTTTAGAGAGGGTGTGGTAGGTAAGTTTGGGGTGCCAGGTATAAATGATAATGGGAGCCCTTTGATTGAACTTTGTATAGAAAGGGGTTTAGTTATAGGTAATACATATTTTAAGAAAAAGAGGATAAATAAGTATACACGATATGATGTAGGGCGAAATGACAGTAGTTTGTTGGATTATGTATTGGTAGATAAAAGACTGTTGAGTAGACTTCAGGATGTACATGTTTATAGAGGGGCCACAGATATATCAGATCACTTTCTAGTTGTAGCTACACTGAGAGTAAAAGGTAGATGGGATACAAGGAGAATAGAAGCATCAGGGAAGAGAGAGGTAAAGGTTTATAACTAAAAGAGGAGGCAGTTAGGGTAAGATATAAACAGCTATTGGAGGATAGATGGGCTAATGAGAGCATAGGCAATGGGGTCGAAGAGGTATGGGGTAGGTTTAAAAATGTAGTGTTAGAGTGTTCAGCAGAAGTTTGTGGTTACAGGAAAGTGGGTGCAGGAGGGAAGAGGAGCGATTGGTGGAATGATGATGTAAAGAGAGTAGTAAGGGAGAAAAAGTTAGCATATGAGAAGTTTTTACAAAGTAGAAGTGATGCAAGGAGGGAAGAGTATATGGAGAAAAAGAGAGAAGTTAAGAGAGTGGTGAAGCAATGTAAAAAGAGAGCAAATGAGAGAGTGGGTGAGATGTTATCAACAAATTTTGTTGAAAATAAGAAAAAGTTTTGGAGTGAGATTAACAAGTTAAGAAAGCCTAGAGAACAAATGGATTTGTCAGTTAAAAATAGGAGAGGAGAGTTATTAAATGGAGAGTTAGAGGTATTGGGAAGATGGAAGGAATATTTTGAGGAATTGTTAAATGTTGATGAAGATAGGGAAGCTGTGATTTCGTGTATAGGGCAAGGAGGAATAACATCTTGTAGGAGTGAGGAAGAGTCAGTTGTGAGTGTGGGGGAAGTTCGTGAGGCAGTAGGTAAAATGAAAGGGGTAAGGCAGCCGGGATTGATGGATAAAGATAGAAATGTTAAAAGCAGGTGGGGATATAGTTTTGGAGTGGTTGGTGCAATTATTTAATAAATGTATGGAAGAGGGTAAGGTACCTAGGGATTGGCAGAGAGCATGCATAGTTCCTTTGTATAAAGGCAAAGGGGATAAAAGAGAGTGCAAAAATTATAGGGGGATAAGTCTGTTGAGTGTACCTGGTAAAGTGTATGGTAGAGTTATAATTGAAAGAATTAAGAGTAAGACGGAGAATAGGATAGCAGATGAACAAGGAGGCTTTAGGAAAGGTAGGGAGTGTGTGGACCAGGTGTTTACAGTGAAACATATAAGTGAACAGTATTTAGATAAGGCTAAAGAGGTCTTTGTGGCATTTATGGATTTGGAAAAGGCGTATGACAGGGTGGATAGGGGGGCAATGTGGCAGATGTTGCAAGTGTATGGTGTAGGAGGT